AATGTAATGTAATGTAATGTAATGTAATGTAATGTAATGTAATGTAATGTAATGTAATGTAATGTAATGTAATGTAATGTAATGTAATGTAATGTTCCTAATTATACTTGATTTTGGATAATTTTCAACAGTTTCCTCATGTACTCATTTTGTGGTGGTCTATTGATTTTTGAATATTTTTTGCGCGCATAAAAAATTATGATTTTTGAAGGATTTTGTCTTTTTCGGATGTTTACTTTTGGGAAAACACTAAATTTGTAGCACTTTACCCTGTTTTTTCATGTGCCCAATTTTTGGTGATCTACAGATATTTGGGTACTTTTGGGGTGAATAAAAATTAATGCCTTTTGAGAGGTTTTAGGTTTTAGACCTTTTTCGGTTGTTTGCTTTTGGGCAAACAGCTAAATTTATAGAATTCTGATATGTTTTTTAAGACGCCACATATCCTGGTCCAGAAGTAACATTTTACATCCTACTGTTAATATCACTATTATGTTTAATTACACCACAATCATCAAGCATCCGGACAAATATTTCACTAATACAACCTCTCAATTCCTGTACAGAACCTTTAGAAGAAAAAGTAATAATGATAAAATAAGGCTCGGATTATATGCACCAAAACTCCATCAAATATGATGCGCATATATATGCACGTATTTTTACAAGAATATGCACAAAATATTAAGAAATATGCTACAATATATGCCAAATATGCGTCGATATGCAAAACTTTTAACAATAAAAAAGTTGGGATAATATTTTATCCTTCAGTACAAAAAACTTTGTATTTTCGGTATTTTGAACTGTACACGATGAACGAAAGAGAATAAATCATTTGGTTTTGCCTCAGACAAGCCATTTTAATAATCCAGTAATTAAGCCTTTCTAAGAAATCTGTACTTTTCAGATCACATCACTTTAAACAATTTCGCAAAAATTCATTTGCAGGAGGCAACTACTTACCCGAATGGAAAGATCATAGCCATACCAGGTAAATAAAAAGTATGGAGCCAAACGTTTTTTGCTTAAACTATTAATGGTGATGTTTTATCAAGAATAAAATTTTTCAAAATGTTTTATCAACAATAAAATTTTTCAAAATTTTGTTTTGTTTTTGAATTCTACAAAAATATTTTTTTTTAAATAACAACCCACTAAAAAACCATTTTTCTCATGGAGGTTATGATCTAAAGATTATACGACTATCTCCTTCATATTACATTTTTTCAAAATTTTTTTTTACATTAATTGCACAGAAAAAACCGCTTAACTCAAAGACAAAACAAAATTTTCTTCTCACAATACGATCACATTTGTTATATTTGTTTAATTTATACCTACAATTATCTATTAATTATTATTTTCTGAAAGCAAATGATTTTAAAAGAAACCGCTTGGTTCCATACTTTATATTTACCCTGTATAAAACGAATTAGAAAAAGAAACACTCAGCAGAATACTAATTCTTAGAGTTCGGCTTACGATTTACCGGTTGTTTTCTCTTTAACATATTTTTAATCCGATCTTTTTTTTCTTAAACTGCCCAAATTTTTAATCTGAACTAAAATTTTTAATCGAAGATTTATGATTTGAAGAAAATATGCACAAATCTGCAATATTTCCTAAAATATACACGAAGTTGTCAAAATATGCAAAATATGCATTTTTTAATTGGCTTATTTTAATCAAAAAACATTAAATATGCATAGAAAACTTATAATTTTATTGATATACCTCTTAATAACAAATATGCATTTTGCATACAATCCGAGCCTTAATAATAAAGAAGAGTCGACATGTATTAAAATCTATTACCTTCATGTCTTGAAATTATTAGAAAACACTGCTGTGTAGAAGAAGTAAAAAATTGTTCGCAGGTGATTTTATTCATTTCACGATTGTTGCATGTCTTGTCAGAACACATAAGACAGTCCAAACTTTTTCCATACTTAACAGTTAATAATGTATAGTATATGATTGTCCTAAAAATTATATTTGGTTTCATTTCAGATTTATAAAATCTTCAAAATGCAGATTAAATGTCAGTGACAATAAGGAAATCATGGATTATGTCAATAAAAAAAAAGTAGAAAAAGGTTACTCATGAAAAGAAAATGGAACCAACATTGCAAAATTCATTTATTTTACAAAAACTTCACTTGATTCAGTCTTGATTATGTTGATATTCTAGAGTTAAGAATCTTCTGAAACAAATTCCTCAAAGTGAAAGACATTATATCTATACCCACTCAGCAAACAAACAAATCAAAAATGATAAAAATCTCATCACCTCTACTACACCTTCGACTTCCTCTCAAATTCTTATCATTACTGCTTTCACTTGACGGCCACTTTCATGACCCTGAAACCGCACCGATACCCTACTTCCCTCAGTTCACACCGCGACTTCAAACCACACTAAAATGTCTCCAAAAATCGAACAACTGACCGAAAGTTTTCTTCTTGGTGAAGGCCCCCACTGGGATGTTGCAACGCAAAGTCTTTATTTCGTCGACTGTATCAGACAAAATCTGGTAAAATACAATCCTACAACAAACAAGGTCACCAAAGCATCAGCCGGTAATTTAATTTATTTTCATTACACTCTATTCAAAAATAAAAATCTCTTAGCACCAAAACAACCGACATTTATCATACCGGTACAAGGCAAAAGTGATCATTTTATTATAAGTCTGGACAAAGAATTAGCGATTGTTAATTGGGATGGCGAAAGTGATAAATTTACTATTGTTCAAAAATTATGTGTTGCGGATGGAGGGCCTGGAACGGCCCAGAATAAATTCAATGATGGGAAGTGTGACTCTTCGGGCAGACTGTGGGCAGGTATTTTGTTCTTTATTTTTAACGAAACAAAAGAGAAGAATAAATTATGTACAGGGACTCTTAATATTGACAAGGAAGATGAAGACAAGACACTCCCAGTCGGTACTTTGTACAGTTTTGATTCTAAACGTGGTTTAAAAGGACACATAAGCCAAGTGAGACTCACAAACGGCATTGCTTTTAACGACCAAACTAAAAAAATGTTTTATATTGATACACTAAAAGGAACAGTCGACCAATTCGACTTTGATGTAACCAGTGGTGAAATTTGTACATTTTAAATCAAAAATTATTATAAAGGCCACAAAAATTTTATTTTTTAGCCAACAGAAAAGTCTGGTTCACTCTCAATCAAAATAACATCTCTGGAAAACCCGATGGTATGACTATTGACACTGATGGTAATTTATGGGTGGCAGTTTTTCAAGGAAGTCGAGTCATTAAAATCGATGGGCACACACCTGAGACTTTGCTAGACACCATAGAAATGCCTGCCCAACAGGTACTCCACTCATGCTAAAAGAATTAAATTAAGTTAAAATTATATTTTAGGTGACTTCAGTAGCTTTCGGAGGACCAAATTTGGACGAATTGTATGTTACTACTGCGTCTTTTGAATATAAGGGCCGGACTCCGCCACCCCCGGTCAATGGGGCCTTGTATAGAATCACAGGGACCGGTTCTAAAGGCCTTCCAGCTAATAATTTTAAACTAAACTGATTTTTCCCATTGACATGAAAAAATAAATTCGAGTAAAACCGGACAATTTTTTTTTTCTATACTTCTATGATTTATAGACGACATAATTATCGTCAAGTTTGCTATTGTTGGACTTATTTTAACCTTGCTTGTCGCTACGTGAAAATTATCATTTATCTTGTTTACAAACGTTTGAGATATTTATAACATCAAAACATCATATATCGTTCTACTATCGACAAGAATATCAGAGGAAATTACGTATGTTAAAAAAAAAACTGAAAAATTATATATTTTTTTAAGTGTTAACGGAAATAAGGGACCAGTGCAGTAACACTCGGGTATCATTTTAGCTTTGATGAAGTAATGTAATAAATGCTGATACTATTAGTCATATTAAAATTTAATTAACGTCCGATTATGTACAAATGCCTACAAGTATTCTGTAATTGTTTCAAATTAACATACGAATTAGTAAAAACAAAAATCCCAGTGTCATGCCTAATTGTATCTATAATTACCTCTAGTGTTTAGATAATTGTATAAGTGTTTAATTGTGTTTTATTACTGTAAACACATTTTTATTTTGTTTAAATACTGTATTATTAATTATTCATTATAGATAAAATTTTAAAATATAAAAATATATTTTCTCAATACTTAAACTTTACCACATGACTTTTTATAAATAAAACCAAAAATTTGGTTTCCCTCTGACAGATTTAAAACGAAACTGTTCACAATTTCACACATAAAGGAAAATTTTGTAAAAGTATTTTTTTAGAAATACCACGAGGTTACGAAAAAAAACATTTGTGAGATAAAATTAATACATGTTTAAAAAAAAAAATGATATCTGCCAGTTTGGGTTTTTTTTCTGATTTTATATGCATTTTCTCCCTTTTGTTTTCTGATAATTTTTGAATCACATCGTACAACATATTTATAATTTTAAAAATTATTTTGAGCACAATGACAAAAAAAGTGAAAAACATTGAAAAAACAATGGTACAATTGGAGACAAAATACTTTAGTCGTCAATGTCACTTGAGTGACATTAAATTGTAAAGCATGTTTTAGGACTGTTAACCTTATTTTTAGCTACTGTCAATCATAGTTGACAAGTTGTATGTACATATTTTTGATAGGAAAATGTAATACCTGTCATTAATTTGAAATTGTCATTCATTTTAACGTTAAAGCTTGAATTACATTAAAGTGTCAGAAAAGTGACGACCAAAGTATTTTGTCTCCAACTGTACAAACATATTTTTGAAAATATAAAAAAAAATCATTTTGCATCACTCTATATTTTCCCACTTCTCAACAACCTCGTTCAAAGCTGTCGTTCTCCCAGTCCGGCTCACACTCCACACACTTCCTACTCCTTATTCCCTTCCTCTTATCACAATTCACCTCAAAAACGCACTTGACACTTCAATGCACTTAACTTTCCTCATCTGAAAAAAATGTGAGTGACCCCTGCAAGGTCAGTCCAATTTGAACGAGACTTAAATAGAATGATCATTTTTGTTTTGGTAGTTGTACTCGAAACCGGCGAGTAAAGTGCATGATGGTAAAAATCGAGCGACTTACCGACAACATCCATCTCGGGGAAGCCCCCCATTGGGAGGCCGAATCCGAGAGTCTCTTCTACGTAGACATCCTCGGAATGGCGGTTTACAAATACACCCCTGCTACTAAAAAGTGCACCAAAGCTTCAGTGGGAGTGAATTTAGTGTCTTTCATCATCCCGGTAGAAGGAGAGAAAAACCAATTCGTAGTGTCTCTAGGACGAGAAATCGTCAGAATTTTCTGGAATAGTGAAACCGAGGATATGAAAGTGGTGGAAAAGCTGGCGGAAGTAGAAAACTCGCCAGAGTTTGTCGATAATAGGTTTAATGACGGGAAATGTGACCCTTCTGGAAGGCTATGGGCCGGCACCTTGAACACCAAAGCGGAAAAACCTCTAGTTTATCCTCCAAAAGGGACACTCTACAGTTTAGACGCGGAAAGAAACGTCAGAAGTCACGTGAGCAGTTTGAAGATTTCGAATGGGATGGCTTTTAACCCTAAACTCAAAGCTATGTATTTTATAGACTCCTCAAAGGGGACTGTGGACCATTACGACTTCGATATGGCGTCAGGGACAATTTGTATAATTTATAATAAATGGAAAAGTCAACACAACTAATTGGAATTTTCCAGCAAATCCTCGACCAATTTTCACGTTGAGCAATCACGGTATAGAGGGGATTCCCGATGGAATGACCATAGACATCGACGGTAATTTATGGGTGGCAGTTTTTAATGGCGGAAAAATTATCAGGATTGACCCCAGGCGGCCTGAAACCCTTCTAGACGCCATAGAAATGCCAGTGAAACAAGTATTTCAACAGTAATTAAAATTTGAAAGCACTTTTATCAATTTTAATACAGGTAACATCATTGACTTTTGGGGGACCATACCTCGACGAGATGTATGTCACAACTGGAGCTTACAAAATCGACGATCAAGATCTACCACCACCTGACAATGGTGCTCTATACAAAATCACCGGTTTGGGTACCAGAGGGTTACAAGCAGCCAAGTTTCGCCTTGTAAACATGTAAAAAAATATGACAATGATAAAACTGTTGTTTACGAGGTGTTTTAATTGCTCCAATAAACTGTACATACATAAATTTGCTTGAATAAATAAAAAAATAATAAAAGTTTTTAACACTTGACAAAAAAGAAATAATAATAAAATAATAATAATAATAAATAAATTTCAAGGATGATCGGAATATTTTCACATTCTGTTTAATAATGATACCTGTATTCACATACGTTTTCATTATGCATCATTAATTTCTGTATTAATTAATAATGTTATGATAAGTGGAAATTTATGTAATGTTAAGTATACAGCATGTCGCCGGGTTGAGTTTTTACGCCAAAACTGCAAAGGGAAACCATTTTTTGCTTTACCTGAAGCGAGCAAATCTGTAATTAAGTCTTCATTATTCTAACTCATTAAAACGAAAAGTTCATTTTTCTCTTGATTGTGGACTTAGAATAACTTTTTTCTATTTCGGTGTTAGAATAAGTCTATTCCAGCACCCAGATGACGTCATTTGAGTGCTGGAATAAGTCGTTCGCGGTAATTTAATTTTAGTGACGGACCTTCTTCACAATTCATTTTCAAATGTGAAAATATGAATTATTTTTATTTTGTACAGCCGCCTAAAATTATTCCACATACCTAAATGTCGCCAACCGTCGCAAAATTCTTTAGAAAAAAAATTAAATTTTCGTTTTTTAATTTATAAAATCATATAAAGCGGCAAAATAGAAAAAATAGTATAAAGCACTTGTTGCAGAAGGTTCTTCAAGCACTCATTTGTTCCTCAACTCGCCGCTTCGCGGCTCGTTTCGGAATTTCACATTTGTGCTTGAATAGATTACCTTCTGCAACTTGTACTTTAATATAGTATTTTCTCTTTTTTAAATCCTATCACATCGGCGGTTTTATTTTTTTTTGACAATGATGTCACTTTGACAAATGAGTTTACGCAAGTTAAATAACAACAATGTTTGTGAAAAACATAATTTTAATAAATAGGAACTCAAAGAAACAGCTTTAAGATAAAAACTTAAGTCATTTTTAACAAGAACTATGACATATAGTTGTCAAATAAATGAAACCGCCAATGTGATAGGATTTAAAAAGAAGAGAAAAAGTCTAAAACCAAGAGAAAAATTAACTTTTCTTTTCACTGAATCAGAATAATGATGTTTTAAGTACAGATTTGCTCGTTTCAGGTGAAGCAAAAAATGTTTTTCCTTTGCTGTTTTGGCGTAAAATCAAAGATGAATTTTTTTTTTCTCTTGTAAACTCAATCTGAGGACATATTGTATAAAAGAAATGCGCGCCCCAGAAAAAAGCCAGGTAAGATAAAATACGAGAGGCACTAGAAAAGTTATCTACCTAGCCATGAAAGAAACAAATGAAACGCACAAGCATAATTTATCCAAATAGTGAGTGCCATGTATTCTAACATTACCTACCTGCAAAATTTGAGTTAATTAAGATAATTAGTTTTCAATTTATAAAGCGAATTGTGAGGAAAAAAATAACATTATCAAAAACATTGTACGTCTTGTGTTTCATTGAGATAACTTTTCTAGTGCCCCTCGTACTATAGATAAAAAATTCTATATAAAATTTTCGAAATGATGCTTTAATTTTTTTTATTTTAAACAAAGAAAATGTATCCTGAAAGGTATTTTATAACTATGTTTAACGTTATTATAACAAAAACTTTTGCTTGCTATCTTCTAACTTTCTTAGCATTTCCGGACGTAATTTATTTCAAAATTTTTAGAAGCAACCAAAAATGGAAATTCGCATGTTGTCAGCAGTACAATGACGTTGACGTCAATACAGCATCAAGGTTGAAACAATTTTTAAACTGCATTATTTCCAACAATGCATACAGGTACCGCATTTGTGCAAAAAGTATATAATTTTCTAATTTTTGAAATATGTTTAATCTGTTCATGGTTCTCTATTTGAATCTCATAATAAAGTGAAAACATGAAACATACGTAATTTTCAATCAAACGTGAGTCCAGAGACAAAATGCACGATGGTACGTTTTCAATACTTATAACGTATGCACAAGATAAAATAACCGTAGATACATTCATTATTTTTTAATTATTATTTTTCAATTTCACCTATTTTTAAAACATATAAAAGTAAGGTAAGGTAAGTACAATTTTATCAAAAATTGTTGCAACAGTTTACAGCCAGAAATTTTATTATTTAATTGTATTTTTCACGAGAATGTTATAAAACTAAAGTGGTAATAAACGAAGAGAATAAATACAACAGTATAATTAAGCTATAAAGAACAATAAGAATAATTTTGAAACTTCTATTCCTACATTTTTGCTTTTCTGGTGAATGTCATAACAGAAACTCAAAAAATAAATTGTTGTGAAGTTTCGATTAATAAAATATCGTAAGTAATTTCAAAGTTTTTCTATTTAATATCCATTTAGCTACCATTTTTTATTAATTTTTCTTTTTAGTTAACCTTTTAAGGAAATGTATTTAGCATGGTTTTTTGTAATTATGTTACTGAAAGAGGGTAATTTATTTAAAATGTAATTATTATGCACAACGCAGGACATTTTTTTCAGCACAAAAAATATATATTTACATGCAATTAATAAAAAAAAACACCTTTCTTAGCTTTAATATTCGCACAAACGCTTTATTGTGATATTTTGGAGTAATTTTACCAAAGTTATGTTTTTAGTGACAATGTCCCTAATAACACGAAGGGTTGTTGAGAGTGTCGAACTTGGGGAAGGCCCTCATTGGGACGCCGAAACTCAAAGTTTGTATTTTGTGGACATTTATGGTAAAGCTATTCACAAATACGTTCCCGCAACAAAGAAACATACCAAAGCTGTGATCGGTAAACTTAATTATTTTCTTTCAAAATTTTTGAAAAATGAAAATTTTATTAGGAATTAATCATGTATCGTTGATTATTCCGGTGCAAGACCAAAAAAATAAATTCCTTATTAGCATAGGCCGTGATTTAAATATCGTGACTTGGGATGGAGAAAGTGAAACAGTTTCGCATATGGAAAAAATTTACGAAATTGATAACAAACCTAACACTCTTAACAACAGATTTAATGACGGAAAATGTGACGCTTTAGGACGTCTGTGGGCTGGTAAAAATTATGTTCATTTTTGAATCTTAAAATGTTATGGAACATAATAGGATCAATGGGAGCCCAACCGGTTCCGGGACATGTGGAACTAAATAAAGGTTCATTTATCAGTTTAGAGTCTAGAGGAAAAGCCAAAACACATCTCACAAAAGTTGGTATTTCGAACGGACTTGCTTGGAGTTTGGACAACAACTACTTGTATTATATCGACTCACAGAAAAATACAGTTGATCGATACGATTTTGATCTCCAAAAAGGAATAATCTGTTCGTATAACAACTTAGAATTGTAAATAAAATTATTCTTAATTTATTTTAGCTAATGGCGAAAGCATTTTTTCGTTAAAAAAGGCTAACCTCACTGGTATATTAGACGGTATGACCATTGACACTGATGGCAATTTATGGATTGCAAATTTTGGAGGTGGTCGTGTACTCAAAGTAGACCCAAGAAGTCCCCAACGTCTCCTGAATATGATTGAGATGCCGGCACATCAAGTAAAGAATGTTTTTGAATGTGTTAAGCATTAAAAAAAATGTTTCAAAGGTTACTTCTGTAGCTTTCGGGGGGGCTAATTTAGACCAACTTTTTGTCACTACCGCGGGACTTACAACAGATGGAGTGGCTTATCCGCCCCCCAATAATGGAGCTACGTATGTTATAACAGGGACAGAGGCCAAAGGACTTCCAGGAATAAGATTTAAATTGTAAAAAATCCTGTATTAAATAAAGTGTGACCAACTAACAGCAAGATTGAAGATGAAATTTGTTTTCACTTTAACTAAATCTTGTAAAAAAAGTAAGCAACCATAACTCTTTATAGTTTTAGTTCACGATTGGACACCTTCTTTCTAAGTTGTCCTTGAAATTCTAGATTTAATCAAGATTCTAAAAAAAAATTTATGAAACAAGATTAAAACCTAAAATAAAAATGAAACTCTTTAAAAATTCTGAAATCTTGGGATAAGGTTTCAAGGTATTCGTATTAATAAGTATCCCAAAATCCAACGTACACCTAAGCAATATGGTCCTTCAAAATTTTGTGTTAAAAAATATATATTTTGGGATAAAATTTTTACATTCAAAGAGTTTAATAAAGTGACTTCGTCACTCGTGAACTTAACCTTTTCACTCGTAGATAAACAATCTCTTTATCGTCTTGTATAATAATAGTTATTTATTATACAAGACGATAAAATTGAATTTTATCTTTGAGAGCAATTTAATATGCTCGAAAAGATAATGAAAATTTTATCGTCGTGTACAATATAAAATTTTATTCAATCCTTTCTAATTTTGTAGTCAATTTGGTCGATATTTATAAATGTCAAAGTAAAATTCAACAATGAAATCTTATGTCAATGAACGTTAGCAACTAACAACTGCAGATATACAACAATGGATGTATTTTTTATCATTTAGACGATAAAATTTCATTTTAACATAAAGAAAAGAGTAGATAAAATTCAATTTTAACATAGAGGATTGAATAAATAACTATTATTTCTCGTAGAAACAAGAAAATCAATTTTATTAATACAAAATATCTGCTAAACTTTTTACGTAATAACAAATTCAAACTGTAAATATTGACCGATAACAGCCTTATTAAATTATCATCTTGCGTAATGTTTAATAACAATTTTAGTAAAGATAAGCAATCTTAATCAATCACAAAAAATCCAGTAGATATTTCAGAAGCAGACAATCAAAGCGACTCAATTACTTCGAACTCGTGCTGTAATTCCATATCATTAGTGAACATCATTCAGTACTAACATGGCACCAACAATAGAACGAATCGTCGACAGTGTCGAACTCGGCGAAGGACCCCACTGGGATGCCGCTACACAAAGCCTCTATTTCGTCGATATTTTCGGAAAAGCCATCCACAAATACGTACCAGCGACGAAAAAACATACCAAAGCAGTGATTGGTGAGTGGCCCCGTGTTCTAGATAACATTTGAGATAAAATGAAAACAGGAACCAACCACGTGTCACTAATAATCCCAGTCGAAGGAGAAAAAAACAAATTTTTAATTACGATAGGCCGGCAGTTGGTGACAGTGAAATGGGACGGTGTAAGCGAGAAAGTTTCCGAAATTACAAAAATAGGCGAAGTCGATGACGACTCGAGTACTCTCGATAACAGGTTCAATGACGGGAAATGTGACCCCACAGGGAGATTATGGGCGGGTACTATGGGAGGCGAACCAACTAATGGACACGTCAAACCGAACAAAGGCGGGCTTTTCAGTTTAGGACCTAATAGGCAACTGAAGAAACATTTGAGCAATGTTACGATCTCGAATGGGCTTGCCTGGAGCCAGGATTTGAAAAAAATGTATTATATTGACACGCCTAAAAGGACAATCGATGAGTATGAAGTGGATATAAAGTTCGGCACCCTTTGTAAATATTGCCACCCCATGATTCATTGAAAAAAACAACTAAGACATTATTTTTAGCAAATGGAAGACCCATTTTTAGTTTGGATAAACACAATATTCCAGGGTCTCCAGACGGGATGGCTATTGACACCGATGGGAATTTATGGGTGGCTGTTTTTAATGGCTATAGGGTCATTAAAATCGATCCCCGGAAACCGGAAACTCTCCTAGATACAATTCAATTGCCTGCTAAACAAGTATGAAAAAATTGGTTTGCAAAATCTTGTAAAATTTTTTGAATTGTTTAATATTTCTATAGGTAACGTCAGTAGCTTTTGGAGGTCCCAATTTAGACGAACTGTACGTCACTTCTGCCTCTTTCACGATAGATGGCGTAGTACTTCCGCCACCTGACCATGGGGCTACTTTCAGGATTACAGGAGTAGGGGCAAAGGGATACCCAGGAGTTAACGTAAAATTGTAAAAAATGTACAAATCGAGCAATAAACTCTTTAAAAATAAATCCGTTCTTTTAGTAATTACAAAAATGTTACACATGAATGTCCTCAAGAATTTTCTGAACCATCCGGTATGAAAATAAAAACTCAAAATTACGTGACATCTGTCAAACAATTAAAAACAATGGTCCGAATAACCCAAATTGGGGACAATCTAGAAGTGGGCACTCGCATCCATTGGGACCAACAAACCCAAAACCTTTATTATGTCGACGTTCCCACATCAACCATCTACAGATACAGACCTTCTACAGACAAAATAACTCAAGCCCAAATAGGTAAGATTTTTTTTCTCGTTCCATTTCATTGTAAATCATTTTTTATAAATTCAGGAAATGAACCTCTAGCTTTCGCATTTCCGGTCGATGGCAAAGAAGATGTTTTCATTGCGGGACTAGGCCGAAAAATAGTTTTGTTGAGATGGGACGGTAGTAGCGAAAGCGCTTGCTCGTGTACTACTATTGCGGAAGTAGACAGAGAACCGGAATTGGCCAAAAATCGGTTAAATGGTGCCAAAATTGACCCATATGGGCGACTGTGGGCCGGCACGATGGGACCACAGGACGCCAACGGGCAAACAATTCCCAAGCAAGGGTCATTGTATAGTTTAACCAATGGTAGACTCAAACGAGAATTTAAGGAAGTTGGTATTTCAAATGGTATTGCATTTGATCTGGAAGAAAACAAAATGTACTATGTTGATACCTTAATTCCGGCAATTTCTGCATTCGATTACGACGGCGAAAGTGGCGAAATCAGTAATTTATTTAGAAATTGTTTGAACGAAGTATGTTATTATGATTTTTTAGGTAACAAAACAACAGTTTTTAAACTAGAATGCAGTTGCATAAATGGCCTACCAGACGGATTAACAATCGACACCGATGGTAATTTATGGTTGGCTGTGATTTTCGGTTCACTTGTTTTAAAAATTGACCCTCGGACCGGCCAACTATTGAAAAAAATCCAAATGCCAACCCCTCAAATCACAGCACTCACTTGGGGTAACAAAGACTGCGACGTCTTGTATGTTACTAGCGCCAAAATGGCAGTAAATGGGAAAATACCCGAAAAACCGGCCGGTTGCACTTTCAAATTGGAAAATTTGGGGCACAGCAAGGGTTTACCTGGTGACCGATATAAAATGTAATCTAAAGCTAAAATAGACGCTTTATTTGTAGAATTGTAAATATTTATAATTTAATAAAGTTTATATGTATTCATATTATAAAACAAGTTTATTGTTAGTTGAGTGTAATATGCAGCTAATTAACCCATCACTAATAACTTAATACTTCTTTTTCAACTCATTAAATCTCCTTGTCAAATCATCAAAATCGATATCATCAGATGCGTTAGGCGACGGAGGCCCATTAGACGGAACCGAAGGCAATTCAGGAAGATTATAACTGTTTAATTTTTGCTGTGGAGTTGGTTTTTGTGGCTCATCGTTGTTCTGCGAATAAAAAACAAATCATATTTTCCGGCTCAAATGTCGTAAAAATTGATGTTTTTGAAAGCTTGTGATGTTAGTTTTTGCGCTAAATGATTTATTACATAAACAAAAATCCGACTTCTGATGATCTAATGCCATTTATAGCTATAGAAAGCTGAAGAAATAAATTACCTGTAAATTATCATCAGGTGGAACTTTGCTGTCCTAAAATAAATAGGATTGAACTGAATATCTTTTCTTTCAAAAAATTATTTACGCGGTTGTTTCAGCTTATTAGATAATAAAAAAAGGAAAAAGCGTTACCTGGAGGTTATTACGAGGACAGACCATGCTATAAGTCGGTAAACTACCCTAGAAGCATAAAGAAAACAAATAAAAATGCGAAAAACTGATAAAGATCAACTTAAACAAATTTCAACCAAACCAACTTTTTTAATAAGCTGAAACTTTTATGAACTAAAGTCCCTACTAGCTACTCTATTTGTTTATTTGTTCTATACTTCCATGTCAATATTTACCATAAAATCAGTGTTGGACTCCTTCCCTTCATCGCCTGGAGGAATGTTGTAAGAAAATGCTGGTGGAGGAGCGCTTGGATCACTTGGGGCGTTCCAATTTTGATCTTTAGAGGGCTACACAACAATCATTGACACTCTGTAAGTTTCTAATTACTTACCGGATAATGAAAAGGTGCCGCTGGTGGCGTGTCCATCATAGTCATAGCAGGCAGCGGGGGTGGTTGTGGGTACCCCAGAAACCCAAAGGGGGCTGGATAGCCACCACTGCCCCCACCAAGATTATTCTTGTCAGATAAATCAATTAAAAGTGCATCTTTTCCTATAAATTAAAGTCACTACACTTTTAATTTTTATTAAAAGTTTTATACCTTTTTCTAATTCCATTACTTGAGGGTCAGGTTCATATGGGACATTGTATGATTTTGCTATTTCTATTACATATTTTTCAACTAGAAGTTTAGCGGGACTTTGAATTGAAAGTTTGTGTTTAAGCTTCTCACTTATGGTTTCCATTGATTCAATGCGGCATGCTTCAGCATAATTCTGACCGTATTTTGCCGTTAAAAGGTCAGCAATTATTTTTAATTCCTGGAATAGTGGTGTTAATCATAGGTCAAATAAATAACCTTAAGTTACTTGACAATCAGATTGTAGCCTAGGTGCTACCCAAATTAAGCTAGAAACGGCTTCAGCAATTCCTTCGTCTAGTTCTTTCATGTTTGTAATTAAGCCAAAACGAGCTAAGAGTAAATCACAGTACATTTCTACAATTTCCATAGCCTCAACTAAGTAATCCTCTCTTCAAAAATGACAAGTTTATGGACAAATTATGCATTAATTGACTAATTACCTAATTATGTATTCGACCCGTATTTTAGCCCGTTCGATTTTTCCAGCAGCAATAAAATCGGCAATTTCCCTGCGTGACTTTTCCGTCAACTCTGTCTTCTTCTTTTCTAATAGTTTAAGTCTGGCGATAACTAGACGCAAATTGGTTTTCAATTTTGTGTAATTTGGGGCACTCGAAAACATTTTCAACTTTTGTTTTCACTGATTTCACAATTAATTATAAACATGAATCATACCTGTTTGACAAACAACTGTCAAATTTATATGGCATATAACCAACATTATTAAGCAAAAGACACTAAAAAATAAGTACCCGTTTTATTTAAATTTTTATTTTAAAAGTTAAAAATAAGTTATAAACTTGATTTTTTTTTATGTTTCGGTCTGTAACTCCTATTCTTAACATTGGCAACTTCATAGAAGTTACTCCCAATTTTCCTTCGTTTTTGCGCCCTTTCTATTGCTCGTCTTTGCTTGCTTGTTAATTTCTTCCCTCCAAGAGCCAAGTCTTCAACTCTGCGTCCTCTTTTCTGCTTTCTGTTTGCAATGCTTTCAACAATAAACGGACCACTTGCTGATACGGCGAATTCCGTTTCTTTAGACTCTTCTACATCAGAATAAATATTACTTAAATCGGAAGAATCATCAGATTCCATTCCAGTATCTTCAATATCTTTAGCTTCACAATTGTTGGCAATGCTTCCCTTCTCTTCTTTTTCATCATCTTCCTTATCTTCATTTTCAACAACAGCCTTCTCTATATCTTTGATAGGTTCCAGCTCTTTCACATCTTCTCCCTCATAGTGCAACCCAACTCTGATTTTATTGTAATCCTGTACAACACTCAAATCAGTGTTTTTTTTCTCAGCCGTACCTAAAGCTTCCTCATATCCTGGAGGACAAACGTAAAATGGCAATTTCCCCCTCTGCCAGTCATTTAAAACCATCCTGGCAACAATTCCAATGTCGGGCTCTCCCTTTTTCAGTAATTTTCCTGACCTGTGTGCCAACTTTTCCAAAAAATCGGTAGCACTAGTCCAATCTTCAATTTTGTAAGTTTTGACTAAATATTCCTTCCTAACACGTTCCAAAACTGCGTCAATATAATCCTCTGGATTATTTACAAGTTCTACTCTTACAACTCCTTTCAAAACTTTTTCAGTATCAGTTTCAGCACTTGGATAAACAACTCCAGGGCAATCAATCAAGTAAATTCTTCTCATTAATGTAATATATTGCCACACTTTAGTCTCACCAGCAATTGGGGCCACCTTGCAGACTTTTTTACTTCTTAATGTATTTATAATTGACGATTTGCCAACATTTGGATAACCAATAAACCCAACAGAAATTTGTTTTTTGTCAATATGTAATTTAGCTACAAAAAAAAATAAGTAAATTTCATAATAAAAAGAAGTTCTCTTACCAAACTGTCTCAAAAGATTAATTAACGCTCCTTTGCCAAAAGGGTGCATTATGCTGGCATGAAAAGCAATTGTTGGATACTCTTTACTTAAAATAGCCACCCATCTTTGAGTAACCCAAGTTGGGACCAAATCAACTTTATTTAGAATAAAAATCAAGTGTTTGTGAGGCTTTTCTGTTTTTAAATATTTTTCTAAATAAGGAGACCTTGTGCCCATTGGATCTCTAGCATCTAATACTTGAAGCAGAACATCTGAACTATCTACAACTTTATACAATTCGTTCCAAATTCGTTTGGACTGGCCTGCAGCCATGACCCAATCCCTAGGCAAATCCCTAACACCCTCGTCGTCCCTCACAATATTTGAGTCTTTCTCATTACTGTATTTCTCATGTTTTTCTTCAATTAATTTTGATAATTCTTCCAAACCCTTCACCGCCAAATTTGGCCTTTTTCTGCTCTTTTTAGGCCCAAAAACACTGTCAAAGCTTTCAGTATCCAATAAATGAACTCTCGCATTTTTTGCTTTTTCATTTAATAAAGTGATAGGTAAAGTAGTTGGTTTCATAACCATCTGATAGGGATTTTTTACAGCGGCGCCCAACTCAGTTTGAAATTTTTGTAACGCATTTTGTGAAATCACACGACTGTTGCCAAACCATTTCTGATTCGGTTCTACTCTAGCTTGAGTTCCAGATGGCAAACGACCCTTGAATTTTGTATTATTAATAAAATGTTATATAAAAAAAGACCTTACCTGGAAGGGAGCAGGGGTTAGAATTTTTCCAGTTTTGTCGCGTTTTGCTTTAAAATTCCTATACATTTGCAGCCGCTTGATAGTTGACTTTGAGCGCACTTTTGCAACACCCTTGAGACCTTCTTTGGGGCGCTCGGGGTTCATCGAGTGATTTGATTTGTTAAAACCCTGCTTACGGGGAGGGCCCCCGGTTGACCGCACCTTAGGCATCTGCAAAAAATGATTCACGTATTATAATTCTCAAATCAATTTCTTTTCAATTTTAAATACCTCGGAATTTTATAAAGGTTACTTTGTGTTCTAAAAACGGCAAAAATTAATTTCAAAGTTAAATTATTTTTCTCCACGTGCTTAGTGCTGTGCTGTCATTTAAAACTGTCAAATTTGAAAGGCAGGTTGAACAACCACAAATAATTCTAACTAAATTCTGGAAACATTTCTGGAAATTAGAATTATAAAAATAATGTATATTGTAATTGCTTTCTTTTAGTTGTTTTGGGACTTTTGAGTAGAAATTTCTGCTTAGTGTTGTTTCAAACATTCAAACATTACCATTTTTACAAATGTAATTACTTTTTGGGGATTGTAATTTTGTTCATGTTGGCTACGCTTAGTTGTCAGAGTTCTTTCATGGTGAGGCGCAATGGCCGCCGATCAAGAGCAATTTTACCAAATACTAACAACCCTTTTATCCACGGATAATAACATTCGGACCCAAGCAGAGGTACGTAATCACTTTTTAGAATTTTAAACTTTTGGAAATCAATAAAATCTGTGCGCGGCATGTTTTAATTTGAGCGTAAATCGCACCGAAACCTCGTTGCAACAACGTGTATTTGCAGCATGGTCCTTTATAATAAAATTGGACTATGAATCATCATGGAGTTATTTGGCCATTTTTTACCGCATGCCTAAATTCCGAATTCTATTCACCTTTCGTCACGAAGCGCATTTTTTTGCAATTCATTTCAAATTATAAATCTTGTCAGTTATTTTTAGCCCAAAAAGGGCGCCAAATCTCAACCCACCTGTACTTTTCCACAGGAACTTTACAACAGTTTGCCTGTGGAAGCAAAAATCAGCCATCTTCTAGGGGCGATTCACAATGCCGGTCTTGGGGACGAAGCGAGACAAATGTCAGCGGTCCTCCTCCGCCGACTTTTCGCAAATGACTTTTTGGAATTCTTCCCAAAATTGCCACCAGCGAGCCAAGCCCAACTCAAAGAGCAGGTCCTTTTAGCCATCCAACAGGATCAGACAGAGCAACTAAGACACAAAGTGTGTGAAGTTGCTGCTGAAGTGGCTAGAAATTTAATTGATGACGATGGTAACAACCAGTGGCCTGAATTCCTCCAGGTAATTAAAACTACAAAGACACTCAATTTTATTCAAATTAGTTCTTGTTCCAATGCGCCAACGCCCCAAATAACGTCCTCAAAGAAGCAGCTCTTCAGATGTTTACAAGTGTCCCAGGTGTTTTTGGTAATCAACAAAACAACTACTTGGACTTGATCAAACAAATGCTGATGCAAAGTCTGGCCCCAACTGAGGCTTATGAAGTCAGATTTCAAGCTGTGAGGGCTGTAGGCTCGTTTCTTTTAATCCACGACAAAGAAACGCAGATTTTGAAACATTTTGGCGACTTGCTCGCCCCCATGTTGAATGTTATTGCTGAAAGTGTGCAACAACAGGATGACGACACGCTGTTGAAGGTTCTCATAGATCTAGCTGAAAACACCCCAAAATATCTCAGACCTCAACTGTTACCCATCTATGACATGTGTATGAAAATATTCAGCGATGCAGGGGCCTTGGACAGTTGGAGACAGCTTGCTTTGGAAGTAAGTTGTTCAACAATGTTTAAATTTGTTGTAACATATTGTTTAGGTGATGGTAACACTTGCTGAAATGGCACCCGCAATGGTCCGAAAAAATGCGGGAAAATACATGGAGCAACTCATTCCTCTTATCTTGCAATTCATGGCTGATTTAGAAGAGGAAGAGGGTTGGGCAGAAGCTGATGAAATTCTTGACGAAGACAACGACGCCAATAACGTGGTTGCTGAGGCAGCTTTAGACCGACTTGCTTGTGGGTTAGGTGAGTAGGTTGGCAAACCGTTTTCGAGGAAATTGAATTTATTTGGTATTGCGACGCAATTTCCCGTCGTTGAGTCATCTTTTTAAATGAATTATGAAAGTGTTTTTAAGCAGATTTTGTTTTTTCATGTTGCGAAATAATTGTATCTTTGTTAGTCGCTTTTCTTTTACGGAAGAATTGCTTTATAATTTAGTTCAATTAATTATGCAATGTTAGTGATAAAATTTTATTGGCTAATCTAAATTATTAATGGTTCTGTCCTTCAGATGCGATGATATTTCATTAGCATAGATAAAGTTTTGAATTTTAATTAATCAATAAGTTATTTAGTGCATAGTTATACCCGAAAATTCACTGATAAGGAGCCGTGCATAATTTTTATGATCGCCCAAAATTTGTATGCACAAGGTATTTAATAACAAAAATTTTGAAGGTGGTAAGGTGATTTTACCCCTCGTAACTCAAAACGTCCCTGCTATGTTGGCAAGTCCGGACTGGAAGCAGCGCCACGCTGCCTTGATGGCCCTCAGTACCATCGGTGAAGGGTGTCATAAGCAGATGGAGGGTATGTTGCCCCAAATCATGGATGGAGTCCCTGGAGTGATGGAAGGAGTTTTGAGATACCTCCAAGATCCCCATCCTCGGGTCAGATATGCAGCTTGTAACACCATTGGTCAACTTTCAACCGATTTTGCCCCCGTCTTTGAGAAGAAATTCCATGACAGGGTCGTACCTGGCCTACTTATGTTATTGGATGATAATTGCAATCCAAGAGTGCAGGCTCATGCCGGTTAGTTGTTTGTTAAATTTGTTTAATACTATCTATTAAAAAGTTAAATCACCTTTGATATAAATGGCTATTGTTTTGTATAGGAGCGGCTTTGGTTAACTTCGCTGAAGATTGTCCTAAACACATTCTGACAACGTATTTGGATAGTTTGATGTCAAAATTGGAAGGGATTCTAACAGCGAAATTCAAAGAATTGGTCGAGAAAGGTACCAAATTGGTTCTCGAGCAAGTCGTGACAACTATCGCTAGCGTTGCCGACACTGCAGAAAACGAATTTATCGCTTACTATGATCGCTTGATGCCCTGTCTTAAATACATAATCCAAAACGCGAGTAAAGACGAACTGAAGCTTCTTCGAGGCAAAACAATTGAATGTGTCACCTTGATTGGTATGGCCGTTGGTCCTGAGAAATTCATGTCTGACGCGACTGAAGTCATGGATATGTTACTAAAAACGCATGGGGAGGGCGCTGAATTACCCGACGATGACCCTCAAACCAGCTACTTGATTTCCGCTTGGTCCCGGATTTGCAAAGTTTTGGGCAAAAACTTCGAACAATATCTACCATTGGTCATGGGTCCTGTTATGCGAACAGCGGCCATGAAGCCCGACGTGGCCCTATTAGATAACGACGACATGCAAGGAATCGAAGGAGATGACGACTGGCAGTTCGTATCCCTCGGTGAACAAAAGAACTTTGGCATACGGACAGCCGGATTAGAAGATAAAGCCGCTGCGTGTATGATGCTTGTTTGTTACGCTAGAGAGTTGAAAGAAGGTTTCGCCAACTATGCGGAAGAAACGGTCAAGTTGATGGTCCCAATGTTGAAGTTTTATTTCCATGATGGAGTTCGAAACGCAGCTGCGGAGTCGCTTCCATGGCTTTTGGAGTGTGCGACTTGTAAAGGCCCCGCATTCGTACAAGACATGTGGAGGTTTATTTGTCCTGAATTAATGAAAGCTATAGATACAGAACCGGAACCGGAAGTCTTGATGATTCTCTTGGACTCGCTTGGAAGGTGCATTCAGACTCTGGGGGCCGGGTGTCTCGACCAGGAGGCCATGACTGAACTTTTACGTATAATAGATAAGTTGATGAACGAGCATTTCGAGCGTGCCGATGACCGGCATAAAAAACACCTCGATGAGGATTACGACGAAGTGGTTCAAGAGCAACTCGAAGATGAAGAATCGGACGATATTTACGTCTTGAGCAAAATTGTAGATGTGATACACTCCCTGTTTTTATCATACCGGGAGGCTTTTATACCGTTCTTTGACCAAATTTGTACCCATTTTGTCAATTTGTTGACACCGAATCGACCATGGGCGGACCGTCAGTGGGGTATTTGCGTTTTCGACGACGTGATCGAGTTCACGGGGCCGGCATGTGCCAAATACCAGGGATTTTTCCTGCAGCCGCTCGCCCTCTACGTCAAGGATAAGAGTCATGAAGTGCGACAGGCGGCGGCGTATGGGTGGGGCGTGTTGGCCCAGTTTGGCGGCGAGCAATTCGCGGGGGAGGTGGCCAAGATTATACCCTCGCTGGTAGAGGTGATCAACGATTCGGAAGCGAAAGAGGCGAGGAACATCAACGCGACTGAGAATGCCATCGCTGCCGTCACTAAAATCATGAAGTATAATTCAAAAGGGATCAATGTGGATGAGATACTTCCGGTCTGGTTTAGTTGGTTGCCCATAATCGAGGAGGTGGACGAGGCGCCCCATGTTTATGGGTATTTGTGTGACCTGGTGGAGCAGAACAATCCGCATATTTTAGGTGACTTGAGGGTTAGTTTTGCGATTTTTTTCTTAATGATTAGTTGCAGGTGCCGGAAATTCAAATATTCCTAGGATTGTTACGATAATCGCAGAGGCGTTCTACAGGGAAGTGATCGAGCCGGGAAAACCGGAAGGGTTCAGAATGGTGAATCTTGTGCGGCAGGTGCAGTCCAACGAGTCCTACTTTCAGAGTATAGTACAGACTTTAGCACCTGAATTGCAGCATGCTCTACATGTTGCTCTTCATGCGCCGCCTCCATCTTAGTTGAATTTTTGTTCGCAATTTTTTTTATGATTTGAACGAAAAATTTCAAATGAGTTGTCGCTGATTATTTTTATATCATTAATGTTATTTTATGAGATCTTTTCCATTATTTTTTAGAACTAAATTTCTGATTAAAATATTTCAGCATGTAAATATTTTTCTTTTGCAACTCTGGACTGTATGTGATACTCTTCATTTTGGATAGCATCGAGGACGAACATATTTTTGATTGTTAGTGTTTTTAAATATATTGAAAAATATCGACATGATGTTAAGCCACTTCAATAAATCGTGATTTTCTCTATTTTCATTGTTTGAATATACTCCCATACATTTTATGCTCTCCTTAAAAATTCACGGCTAATGCCAACCAAATAAAACATTGTTTTTTCTTTAAAACGAATGATTCCATATAGTTTCTCATAAATACATGAAGTGACTTAAACTTCACAGCGTACGGGGTTTAAGCCGCCATAGAAGTTTAAAATCACTGATTATTGAAGCTAACTTCCAAATATGGGTAGGTAGCTCAATTTTACACTAGCAATAGGTAAGTGACCCCAAAAAGAAATAACTGAAATAATTGTATTAGTAATGCACGAAAATACCTATTAAAAAGTATATAGGAATAATATTTGAGGAAGGATTTTTATATCAAACTGTAATAAGAAACATTGTTGTCAACTTTTATTAAAAGCCTTTAGAAAATACATTTTATTTGGCTTTCTTGGATTTGATCTTACGCATGTAAAATTCAAGTTCTTTCCCTTCCAAGATATAGCCATCTGCCCTTCCACACTGACCTGGTCGCGACGCCAAACAAGCTGAAATAAAAAATACATTTAAAAACAATGAATTAACAAAAAAAAATCAGTAAAGGTAAAGAAAAATCAGAGTAACTATGACAAAAGCAAATCATCGTTCAAAAAAGAAATTCAAAACGAATTTCACTTAAGAATTGAACTCGCTTTAATTTTTTTCATCAGAGGAAGTAACAAAAAAAGGTCAGTTTTCCAAACATAACATACCCAAAAGTCTACCAGTTTGAAACTGTTCTTCAAGAGCGGTTTCTACTTTCGCGGTCTTTTGTCTAGTTTCATACTTCTTTTGCACCTTCTTGCTACGTTTCTTATTTAAAATAGCTTCTTCTTCGGCCGTCTGCAATAAAATCACACATTTGAATTACCAAACTTTCAAGTTTCAGCATAAAATAGCTAAGAACAATCAGTGAAAAGCTAAGAAATTTGTAATCATAAAACTTTCATATGACACGCAATTCATCACCAAAAGAATGTAAAAGCATTTTTAACTTAAGAGATACTTACCAATTTCGCACCCTTCTTGCGTCCCAAAGTCAAAATATAGTGGCTCTCATACCATTGTCTGAACGGGGTGGCGTCGACAACAACAATCGCGTTCTTTACCAATGTTTTGGTACGAACCAATTCATTGTTGCTGGCGTTGTAAACAACGTCAATAATACGGGTTTTGCGGGCAGTACCCTCGCTGCCCCATGCAAAATTGCCTGTATCTAACCTTAAGGCTCTATATTTCAAATTTCCACCACGCGTGCGGACATAGTGGATCCTTTGAGGACCTAACTTTGTATTAGCAGCGGGACGACCTAACTCGAACTTCCTCTTCTTACGGAGAGGTTTCCTTTTACCTCCCGTAGCCCTCCGCTTATGCCAATGGTCTCTGCTGATGCCTAAAATACAAAGTGTTTAGCTACAAAATTCTGGAAACTTAACAGAAACAGTGTGATTTGGCATTAATTCAGATCGCTGTGGGATGGTTTGGAGTCGTCAGCACAACACATCGGCCAGTTTAATCTTTTTATCATCATGTTATTGTGAAAACAAGACTTAGGTTATGTCACAAAAAACTACCTTATCTCTATAAAATTGACGAAAATATAGGTTCAAAAGCACAATATTCTAACAAAAAACCAATAACAAAACATTTTAAATTAATAAGTTGAGGGCAAATTTAAGGATGATTGAAGATTTTCTAAAAATATTAAAGCACGTACTCACCCATTGCAATGAAGTAAACTGAAAGAACGAGAAAACAGGAAGTCACTAAGCATGATAAGTAAAAATCCCTAGATTTGACATGACTTTTAGCGCCTTTTATTTACATATGTACACTTTTTGGCTTTGTAATTACGTTATTAATTTAATATTTTCTTAAAGCAGAATTACTTTGAATGCGAGGTTTTAATGACCAACAATTGATAAATTCGACTATACAAAAATTCCATTTCCGCAATTTGAAATGTCAAAATGGCGGACGATGCTGAAAACGACGATCAATGGTTATACGGCGATCAGCCCGAAATTTCTCAAGAGGAGCCTTCAGCGGATCCTCCCCCGAATGAAGAGTCTCCTACAAAGCCTGAAGAAACAGAAACTTTGCCTCCTCCAAAGGTACCTTTTCAGAAATCATCGGAAACTTGTCCTAACCTTACTTTTCAGCCCATCGATGATGACAAACCACCAGGTGTTGATGATGAACCTGAGAAGGAACCCACTAACGAGAAAGAAGATGAAGAGGATGGAGAAGTGCAGCAGAATGGTGAAGAAGAAGACTTAGACGACGACAGTGATGATGATGTTAATGTTGTCATTGGGGATATCAAAACGACTCCTTCTTACACCTCTCTTAATATCAAACGAAGCGGTTTGTTGACTACTACGGCTCCCGTTGATAAGACTAAACAGGCCCAACAACCTGGCAAATTTACCGTTGACGAATTTGATCAGGCTGGGATGATAAATGGCGTTCCCGCGACTGAGTACAATTTAGATTCATTAGAAGATAAACCTTGGAGAAAACCTGGCGCTGATATAACTGATTATTTTAATTACGGGTTTAACGAAGATACATGGAGGGCGTATTGTGAAAGACAAAAACGGTAATTTGTTAATTATGTACTTAAAAAAATCAAATTATTTATGTCATTAGAATGAGAATGACTGAATCAGGAGTTGGTTTAGCGGCACAAATGACATCAATTGCACGAGGTACAGTTCCAATTATGAACGATAACAGTAAATATTCAGGAAATTTCCTTGGAATACGCAAAGCAGGGCCACCACCAGGAAGACGTATGACTGGGTCTATAGACGTCATTGGCGGTACAGCCCAAAGGGCCACTCCCACTCCCGTAGGCAAGGTGGAACCACCTAAAATGAACGTTATTCAGGTGCAAGACCTTAGTCTCCCGAATTTTTGTTCTAACGTAATTTCAGGTCATGACCGCTGATAGAAGAGAGTACAGTAGGAAACCCACAGGTTTCCCAGACATGTCCGTTCCTCCTCCCAGCACCTTTGAGGATTTCCAGCCCGAGTACGGTTTCAATCCAGAGCCTGAGCCTTTTTATGGAGGCTACGAACCAACGCAAGATTCTCAATGGGGAGCCGAAGGTGAACCACTCTCAAGTTGAACTCCCCACTGATTTTTTTAAATTTTAGGTCCTAATCCATTGGGGCCACCTCCAAACATGCACATGGGACCTCCAATGAATCTTCCAATGCCTGTTCCGTCACCAAGAAAGGATAGTCCAACTCGGAGGGACTCAAAAGAAAGGGAAAGGACGAGGGAAGACAGTAGAGCGAGGTCTGAGAGGCCGAGGGATAGGGATAGGGAACGGTCCCATAGAAGAGAAAGGTCAAGAAGTAGGTCGAGAAGACACAAATCAAGGTCTAGGAGTCCTAGCCATAGGCACAGGAAAAAGAAGTCAAGGCGGCATGATGAAAGCGATTAGGTTTAGGCTTAGTTAATAAGGGATAAAATCGTTTTGTTCACCTTCCCTATGTAAGCATTTCTCTAGGTTTTGTATTTATTTTTTTGAAATAAATCAGTTGTCGAAACTGTCATTTTTTATACCAACCTGATGTAACGAAATGTGAGAATTTATGACTTAAATACCGGTTAATTTATTTACTAATAATTTATGAGTTAGTTAAAGTGTTATAACCGGTGATTCGATTAATAATTTAATGATTATTGTTAATCCGATTTTAAAAATTAATCAATGCTGGTTATGCGCGTGCGCAGAATTTAGCCTATAACAAAAATAGGAGAGGTTTCTGTCAAAATTAAACCGAGTTTGTGTACGTTCGCAAGAATACTCTCCTAAATATCGATTATTTTGGTACTGTGAATATAAAATAACCAATTTGTTAAACGATGTGAAAAACTAAATGAAAACATTGTTTGTCCTCAATGATGTAATTGAAAAATCGCATTCTTACCTAACCTGAAATGAAAATATTCAGTGTACAAATTTTCATTTCTTTCAATTAAAACCGTAATAATTACTCTAAAGACAGCAAAATTGAGTGTTTCGATGTGTGTGCCATAATAAAAGTGTGTCAAGCAGCCCCAAATCGACGTTAACCGTGGCCGAGAACGACTCCAAAAATGTAAGTCGGCTTTTTTCTCTGTCACGTTTTTTGCTTAAACAATCAAATTTCAAAAGCAACTTGGTAGCATGTTTATCAAGTTGAAAAACGATGCACTAGTTCTTTGTGTCAAACAATAAGTCGTAAGTTATCCCTCGAGTGGCAGCTCAAGCCTTCAAGTTTACCTTTTTACAGGTTTGTATGTAAGTTAGGTATTTGTCTATTTTTTTCTGTACTTGTAGTGTTGCCATGCACTGTTTTCTGATATTCAGCTGTTTAGGGTCAAGGTCAGATGGGGGCGGACACCCCTTGTTGCAAGCATTTGTTTTTGATGAAGCGCTAAACTCCCTTGCTTTGATAAATGTTTTTTGGTTGCTTCCTTTCGGCGAAGATTAATCGGTTTTTTGGTATGTTAAAGTTTCGGAAAATAATTACACCCTACGGCTTTTATGAGGGTGCTTACTGAAAATCGTTCATCATCTACATGTGCAGATTTTTTGCCGGACGATGAAAAACTCCACTCGGAAATCGATTTCGTTGCTCAAATGACGGCTAATTGATATTCAGAGGAGGAACTCGACATGACTTGGAGATGTAGGGCTACATTTCTTGATAGCTTTTAAGAATTTGGCCCCTATTGTGACTCAAACTCAAGATAAATTGTTTCGATTATCTTTTGAAGAGTTGCTAACAGATTCGTTTGTTTTGAAATTTTATAATTAAATGTCAATTTGTAATACCATTTGTCAAACAGGAGCAAAACAACAATCTTCTAAACCTTGTAATTTTTATGGAATTGAAACAGATTTTACGTTGAATTTTAATGGAATATTTTATAATGCAATTCGGCAGTTTTCATTTGAACGTAATTGTTTTATATTTCATTCTAATTGAAAGTGGAATTTTTTATTTAGTTGTACATTATTTAAAGAAAGACTTTTTCGGACTACAAACAAATACTGCGAAATTGTCGATTCATAATGATCATGTCTGGGATATAAAGTCACACAGTAGATAATAAATAAGAGAGACACAAAGATAAATCAGATCGGCTATGTTTTCAATGAAAATCTCAGCGTAACAATATCTGATGTTTATTTATTCAAAAATTGGCATAACTCGTTACTCTTTGTTTATTTTGTCATCTGCTTCTAAGATTTGGCCGTTGACCAAATGGTACTTTTCCCCTCGCTTCATCTGAAACCTTACAAAAATCAGACAAAAAATTACACAATTATTTTTCTAATTAAAGGTCAAAAAGTTACAATTATATAAATCTACTTTTATTTTAAGAACATTATCAGTGTTAATGCAAAAAAGGTGATAAGGTTTAATTTTCATATCACTGTGATAATTACTGTTGGGCTACGTCACGATGTAAATTCGATTTTTTATATCTATCAGCAGTAAAATTTGAAAACTCATTGAACAAGACATGAAAATAGACATACCATCAGGAATTAATAAATAATACTAATATAGTCCGTATAGTGGCTATTATTGCAATTTTTATTTTTTACTTTTAAATGAGTCGTGTTTTTTTGCTACAAATGAAGAATTTCTGTCATCAAAAATTAAATAAAATTATTGAATCTTGGTAGAAAAACGGATTTTATGTTATCTATCCTGCTTTTTTCTATTATTTTTGTATTGTTACATTGACACTAAATTCACGTGATTGCTAACACAACTTATAATAAAAGATAGGAGTAATTCCTATTACAAAGAAAGTAATATCAACAATTGTTTATTGTTTTCTACCCACCATTGTGATATCGAACAGGAATACACGTTTAGTAACTTAACATTTTTGTGTTGTTTTGATCGAGGGGAACTATCACTAGGTATAGAAGGTTTTAGGTCTTATTACTTATTAGTTATTGTTTGTATTTATTGTGGTGTAGTAGAATCAATTCACTTGGATATAATTTGGGCAAGTAATGAAAAAATCTAAAATTAATTTTACCGAAATATTAAATCCTTTGTACTCGTAGTCACTTGCCTGCGGTTGGTGCTACTATAATTACTACAAAAGTATAAGACTTCCACTCAAATAATAATCAAAGTAGATAACAATAAAGCGTTTATTTTTCATAAAATGACTATAAAATACGCTTTTATAGCTAATTATTTTTGTATCTTTGTATGTAGTAGAATTCTCATTCAAATTAGTATAGTACAGTGGGACGGCGATAAATCTATAAAAAAGAAATATTTTTTATTTCGAAATCTCAGTAATTCTAATATTTTTTTTGCAATAGGTACATCCAGTTAACGAGATTCTACTGTCTTTACTACGTTTGAGTAAAGGCTGACTTTATGAACTCACGACAACTACAATTTATTTACTATGCTTATTTATTGTTTAAACAACAACAAATTTGTAGCAAACAACAAAAATGTTTTAGTCAAACATTTGACCAAATGTCAACGCCATCACCTACGAGTACCATCATTCATTAAAAACCAAAAAACTATTAGTATCAATAAAATTATGTATACCTACATGTATACATACTTAATAAGTTAATGTGTTGGGAGTCGTTCTGTGTTATCTTGTATAAATATTCAAATAAACAAATATGTTTATCTATGTAATTAAATTTAATTGGGTTTGTCTGTTGGTACTCCTTTTCTATGTATAAATAAGTGGGTTATCGATCAGGTAGTAAATACTTTACTCACTAGCCCATAAATCGACCGGATTAAGTTATCAGCGCACTTGTAAAAAAACTAACAGTAGGTATTTGATAATATGCCTTTACGAATCCAGGGCTTGCAACAAACACATTTCGCTGAAGATTTCGGGTATTATGTGATAACGTCATTTAATTTCATAAATTGATGTTTCATTATCCCTGCTTCTGATTTTTACATCCTAATCAATGTCATTACGCGGGCCTGGTCCCATATTATCGAATGTCTCCGATGCGTTTTAATTAACCATACACGTTCGGATTTATGGTATTAAATAATCCGCACATGGCTCCTGACATAATAATTGTTATTAATATTTCGCTTACGAAAATGTACCATGGTGAGTTCAGTTACCAGATTGATGTTTCGTGTTGAAGATAATTCAGTTTACACGAAATAGGACAATGATATAGGATTATTTTCACGTTTTAACGCGTCTTGGGGTCTAATCTTGAAAGACATGCGAAAGGGGAAAGTTCAATTCGGTGAATTGTATTTCTAGTGCGACTGGTATAATATTTTATGTGCTTACTGTTCTGACAGTTTGGATTAATTCCAATTAATACTTATGTGGAAACAGTGATAAGTACTGTCGCAAACTTTCGAATCTGGTATTATACAGTTAGAAGATTTTTTTGTAATTGTAATTGGTTTCTATGGCGTAAAAATTGACACAGGTTGTTGATGTTAAAATAATTTGTTCCTGGCTTGAACACAATGTTTTTATCATTAAAGCAAAAACGACTAGGACTTCCTAATTACATTAAATTGTTTTGCGGAATTAATATTGTTTTTAAGTTTTAACTTTAAATGACCAAATCTTATTTTATCATGTTGAAATATTACAAAATAAATCGTGAGGGATATGAAATATTAAAAAGCGTCATGTATAACTGTAAAATGAATACATTTGTTTAATAATGGTTACATAAACGGTGGACAACTTTTGACGCCATTTAATGAAAATAAGGAAATCAAAATAAATATAAACTACAAAACTGTGGGTAAAATTGCATTTAATCATTCTAGTACTTATATTTTTTTTAGAAAACCACAAAGTACTTAAGTCATTGAACCAGGAAAATAAAAGTGCAACAAGCTAGCTGGTCTATGAATCTTTTGTTACACAAATTTTGTTTTGAAATAAATAAAACATTTTCAACAAATTCGTGTTTTATTTTCTATCTCCAGATAATGCGTAACTGGGTTCATTTTCATAGAGAAGACTAATCGTATTCATTAATGTTTATTGCATAAAATTAACATTTTATCGTGTATTTTTGTTAAAGAATTGATCATCATTCGAGAATAAATCCCGTATCAGCTAAACTGATCTTAAGATATTCCCCCTCGTCCTATTATCGTTATTTATTTACCACTAACCACACTCCGGTGTATAATACACAAATCTACGCCTTGGGCTTCCAAATTCTGCGATAGCCGATTACATAAACTATTAACTTCCTCTTCGATTGCGGCCGCAGCTACAGAAGATTCCAAGATTTTCTTTTCGGCATCACTAATCGATTTAAAATTGCGGTTGTTTTGTTACGAGCCCTCAGGGGGTACATTTGGCTTCATTACGCCACTCTGCAACAAATGTCTTCATTCAACGACTAAATTCACTGGCATTGATTTTCCAAAAGAGGCAACTGAACACCAAATACTTTTGACATTTTTGTACGATGTGTAGAGTCAACATCCGTGAAAAAGCTCCACTTAACATTCAACGACGTATATTTCTTGCTAATAACGAGAGGATTTTGATTG